CCGGTTTTGGCTCTCGCTGCAGAGCGAGTGCAAGCTGCGCAGGGACAAAGAAAGCGCACTCCTTCCTGCTCTTGGGCAGGGCCGGCCACCGCCTCATCGGAAAGCTGACGACAGCAATCGTCACCAGCACCCTTCTGCAACAGGGAAGCAAACAGCATGTGTCGCTTCAGCATGTGTCAAAAACTTCGCGGGACTTTCAATGTTCTTCGTCCCAATACCCTGAAGTTCGTCCGCTCCGTCTCATTTGTAAGAGACGCGGCCACTTTGTGACGTGATGCCGGCAAGAGCTGACCCAAGAATTTCTGGAATGGCAACGGCACTTTGAGTCTGTTGCATTGTTGACGGAGAAAAGTGAAAACCTGATGCCCCTATTGCCCGGAAGGTGTCATCAGTAGTTTGTTACATCACCTCTGGTGCTGCAGTGGGCATCAAGACAATTAAGCTCAGCAATGCGGACACTGACCCCACTTTCCATTGATCAAGCCTTTTTATGCCAGGGGACTTCTGTCTCAGAACATTGGAAAGTTGTCAACCCTCAGCACCAACGTTGGTGTCACATTTGACAGCGGTACGCAGCTTGGAAGTTGACCTCCAGACAAATCAAGCATGCTCAAGAAAAGCAAGAAAGCGACTTTGACAGTGGCACATGTATGTTCTTTTTGAGGACTAGCTCGTGTTGTAGGAGAGCCCACTCATCAGAGTCAAGGCAACACTATGATTTACTGGCCCTCGCCAAATTGTGAGCCGGCTCTCTCCCGTGAACTACGAGCTTGAACTCGTGGACGGTACTGGCCGCGATGTAGTGCATGTGGAGAAACTGAAGCCGGTCGTCAAATTTGTGCAGCCTCTACCTGGGGACTGAACTTTGTAAACTTTATGTTTTTTTCTCATTTATCACGTCGTATGTATATCATTATTTAATCATGTGCATATTGCTCGACGCAGTATTTGTTTAGTGTTTGTTGCGTGGCAGCGTGATATCAGGTCGACACTTAAAAACCTTGGCACGTGACGAGCTGCAAAAGAGACATCGCTCTGAAGCGGCTCGTGCGAGCGCTCATGATCGAAATAAAAGAAGTAGTTTTGGCATGGTAGCTGATGACGTTGAAATGTCTTTCCTGGGGGGCTATGTTGCGCTTTTTGCACTCCCAGGAGACTTGGAAGAGGGAAGTGACGTCAACGACTAGAGCAAACGCAGATTGGATGTTGACAGAAGAAAACAAAATCAACATCCAATCTGCATTTGCTGCGTTGTTGACGTCACTTCCCTCTCCCTAGTCTCCTGGGAGTGCAAAAAGCGCAACATAGCCCCCCTGAGCACGGTGCCCATTTATCTTGATGACCGATCCAGATCGTCACAACAACATTACCCAGGTAAAATTTCATGATAAGTTTTCCTGCTAGGACTGTCTCCTTGCAGAGCTGGAAAATTGCCGCGGCAGCTGAAATTTTCAAGAGCATCCTTTTCACTCTGTGTCGTCCTTTGATGGTGTTCATGGTGAGCATATCTGCTGTCTCCACTGTCACACACAGCTAGTGGAATGCCTTGTGGCTGGGGCCTCTGCCGTGGTCTGCGTGGCGGTGGGTTGGGGCACAGCGAGTTTTCTTATCTTCCCCTCTGGGTTATGATTATTCATTTGTTCCGTAGGTGTATATGTGTTATCTTGTACTTACGACTACAGTTTGTTTATGTTTACACCTACTCAGCGGCGGGCTAGCAGGCGCACATGCGTAAGGGTACTAACCTTTCTGTCTAGCCTCGCACGCCGCTGAGTGGGCAAACTTTCTCGTGCAAATAAAAATTATTATTATTACTATTATTATTATTATTATTATTAGTGAGGTCCAGTGTTGAAAAAGTGGTGCCTCCAAACACGCTCACCACAAAATCTGTTACAGCCCGCATCAGATTTACCGCCAGTTTTTCAACCGCGTTCAGTGTTGTGTTGGCTCGATTATGCCTTAGCTTTGGAGCATCCGGAGTTCTGCCTCCACTGCGGTACACATTGCAAAAGGAACAGGGCTGGCCTTCAAAAAGCGCAGTGCTTCATCTTTTTTCAGATCCAGGTTCACCGAGGGTTCTTTGTGCCTGCTCATCCCTGAGTCAAGAACTTCCTCATGTGTCAGCAACGCGTCATCTATAGGGTCTTGCCCTGGTCAAGGTGGTAAGCTACTGTGTCTACCTCAAACTTCATTGGTCTCCCTTCGACTTTGGGTGAGACCAGATAATTGTTGACCAGTACATTATTCAGTGAAGAAAGGGAGAAAACACAGGCGAGCTGGTGAATGACAAACATAGTAAACCCGAGACTTAGGAAAATAAAAATAAAAATGAAATGAACATTGAAGTCTCGGACACAGGTTAAAGTTTATTTAACAAACACCGCCTTATATACACGTCCAAACCTCCTTCAGAATCCACCCTTTGGCGAATACGTGCTGCCACCTAGACACGCGACTGGGATAGAGAATAAATGGCTAGAAAACAATGCGCGCACCAGGCCTCTCTAACCTGTTCCACACGCAAAACGTGAGCCACATCCTGTTTGCCCATTGAGCCGCTGTGACCTAGATACGGTTTCCCCAAACTTGCCTTTGTCCCCATCGTGGGTTATCTTCTGTCCCGAAGTCGGCACGAGGAAACCATTTTCGCTCTCTGCTCGGCCAGCAGGAAAAGAAAGAAGGTACTAGAACCATTTACTCTCAAACCAATGTTTCTACAAAAGGTTCATTGCTCGGCCAGAAGGAAAAGAAAGAAGGTACTAGAACCATTTACTCTCAAACCGATGTTTTTACAAAAGATCCTACTACTAGGCGTAACATAACTTCCAACCATATCCAGCACACGAAACAAGAAACAAAAAGAACATGAAACCCAGACACAAAAGAACAGGCCAAAACAAAGGACCTCAAACCGCAAAGGCTGCGCAAGCACAAGATGGTATGACCTCGACTGCCTTCACAGCGCTTGCAGTGAATGAGCACTCGTGCAACCGCCATGGTGTGATCCAAAGCAATTAGCTCACACTTGTAGAATCTGGCTAACAGTCCATGCTAAGGGGAGATGAAGTATAGAAAACTGCAGCTCTAAACACACACACACACACACACACACACAAAAAAGACCTGCCACATTGGAAGAATATAGGAACAGGGATGGGGGGCAACGAGTTTGAATTATGTGGGGGATGGAGAATATACCAACCCTGCCCACCTGTTCCGACGCAACTTCGCACATAATCCGATAATATCCGAGCCTATTTAAAGATCTATATCACATTTCCACTCGATCTGATCGGCATTCCTAATCAGTTTTATTTTCATATGTTCAGTGACAATGCAAGCCAGTTTTAAATACTCTATTCTTATAATATTACTTTTCCGTACTTCTCAATGCAACATTTTCATGGCTGTTCCCCAGATCACGAGAGCCGCGCACAAGTAGCGAGCCTCAGTTTGGGCATCTAGGACGTAGTACATAGCTGTTGTGCGTCTCGTACGCACTGCAAAATCTGCGTAAAACGATCCAAAACTTCTTTCAGCAAGCGCTGCGACCCAAGGGGGTATCGGAGGTCGAGCGTGTTAGCGCACCGCAACTCGTACGGCGAAAGGTCCCACTGCCAGGGATCCCCACCCCAACCCGATTCGATCTGTTGTGAGGCACAGACCCCAGGCTAGCAGTCGTACTGTAGTGGCTAAATTTTCTCATCTACAGCCTGAAACGGTGTCGCCAAAACCTAGACAGGCCGATCGCACGCTATTTAAAATAGTGAGCGTCTTATTTTCTTCCGCTGTGCCCAAAATGACGACAGGGCATGCGATTGAAAGACCAGCGGATAGGCGGGCTACCACTCTTGCCTTCGAATCGTTCGGGAGTCGGGCACCTGCATTTGCACCATGATTGAAGAAACAGAAAGAAGCGACGTCAAATCACATTGACACAGAATCACTCCAAGCTTCCTTGCTTGTGCCCTTCAGCTCTGTGCGCCGTCAGCGTATCAACGGCTGACGGCGCACAGAGCAACGCCTGCCGCGCGCGTTCCGCTGCTCATACAAACAACAACAAACAATCAGGGTATTTTGCTGCAGAAAGTTGATTCCGCCAGTTTTAGCGAAATGCGGAGCTCAATCCCCGCTCAACCGACGTTATTCAAGGTATTGAATTTGGCGTAAGGATAGTGTGTTTGGGGTATGCGAAAAAGACTACGGTATTGACTATGGCGTACGCCGAAACGACTACGGTATTGATTTTGGCGTACGCCATAACCACTACCGTAGTCGAAGCGGAGGGGTAGTGAGATCGGCGTCCTACACCGGTACCGGTCGAACCCTGCGTAATGGCGGCGATCACCCAATGTTGCTAGATGTTTTACTATTCCCGCTAAATTTTTTTCAGTGTTGCCAAAATTCCGAAAGGGGTCTATAGTGCTGCCATGTGATCCATGAGACTAGATTTGGAACAGAGCCATGGTTGATAGTGCATAAGAGTAACCGCATACAGATTGTTTTCACCCTTTATTGATAACAAATCGCCGGAACAGCTGGACGATCCAGAACTCCGCGGCCAATATGTGATGCAAAGGCATCTACGCGCGACACACCTTCAAGCCTTTGCTGTTTCGCCATTCTTGATCGGTATCCAAGTGTGTAAAGGCACAGAAACAGCATTTTGACGTGCCAAGAAAGTTTTTATCATGCCGCGAGACCAGTAAATTTGCTTTTTACAAGTCTTGTCTTTTCCCACGTGTTAAAAACGGCAAGTCTCAACGCTTACATAGTGTCTTTAGGAACTTATTTGGCGAATGACGACGAACGAGTAGAAAACGTGTCTTGAGCACGCTGCCGCCAGCCTTTGCAACGCTAGCGAAACTGCAATTCGTCTTTGGGCAAGATGGCTGTTAAGTGGCTTCACTCACGGGAGCGGGAAGCGCGATCCAGCAGATCAGTGGTCTAGCCAGTCGAGCTGGTCGAGCCGTCCGGAGCCGTCTAGCTAGCCTAGCACTTGTGTAGCTTGCTGCGTTGTTTTCAAAACGTTGCAACTGTTGAACCGAGTGAAGGCGCCAAAACAACGGCCTTGCCTGTCATAACAGTAAAGCTAGCATGGCTGGAAGTCTTCGAAGGTCTACGGGTCCGCCGTAACTAACTCCATCCACTCCGTTGGATGAGTGGATGAGTGGAGTCAAAGTGCACGAGCTGCTTATCTCCCATCCCGTTGGGGACTTGTCGTCAAGTTCCTCACGTTTGGGGCAAGATGTACTGTACAGCGGGAAGTCGGACTTGCTAAAGAGGTAAAGGACAAGTGCCTGGTGAGTATGACCGAGATTTAGGTAGGGCACTCCCCTCATTGGGTAACAAGGCGGCAGTTTCGCGTGTATGGCTTGTGTATTGGTGTGGTTGTGGATCCATGTTTACCTCGGCTTCCCCGAACCCGCCCAAGCTTCTGTGCCAGATCAAGTAGCACATTACTGATAGGGTTCTTCGTTTGGGGTTTTTATTTATGTCAACGACTATATTAACGTCCGTCAAGTTCGATTTTGTTCCGGTGGCTGTGTCCCTATTCTCCTCCGTGTGTCCACGTTTAGGATTGCTCCCCCCTCCCCCCCCCCCCCCCCCCTCCCCCCTCCTCCCTTTTCCTAGTTTAGGGGTTCAAAGCTCCCAAAGTCTTCAATGGGTTGCCCATTTTCCTGTTGGGGCCATCCGGCTTAACCTTGACATTCTTTTGTGTGCTGTTTCGTTGAGGGTCGTAGTCTAAAGTGACCATATTCTTTGGGCCCCTAAGCATAAGACATTTGCAAGTCCGGTCTCCAGGCGCCGCCATTGTGCTTAGTTGTGGTGCGTTTGGGCGCGGCCATAATCCAATGGACCTTTTCCATATACCGACGGCACCAGGCGGTGGCTGCGCGAACTAAAAAATCGAGGAAGTGACCTGCGCTACCAATCAATAATGGGAGCTACGTTACCAGTTGCTTCGCTCTCTGAGCAGCGTCGCGTGCCTAATGCAACGAGGTAGGCCTAGCGCGACTTTAAAGAAGGAAATCCGTAGCGTCCACCCAAACGTCGTGTTTTTCTTTCCGTCCACTTTCTTTTTTTGTGTAACACAATTATATATATGCTGCAATTACGTGTTCTACTCGTCGATTTACAGCCTCATTCCGAATTTCCTCGATTTTTTCGTGCCGACTTCCACCGCTTGGCATCGGGCGCTCGCGCGTGCGCAGAACGCTTCTCGGAAAAGGTCCATTATGACGCCTTAGCAGGGCTTCGTAATCGGATTATGACGCGTTCAAACCCACCCCAACCGAACAAGATGGTGGCGCCCTGAAGCCGACGGTAACAAATTACATATTTTTATTATATTACTTGTCTTCTTTGTGTTTCGGCTGTCCAGCTATTCTTGTGGCACATCAGCCCAGGAGGATGGTTAGACCATAGAGCGCAAGCCGTTGAGCGAGAATACAAACAAGACACGGCTGAAGTTGTTGGACAAATACAAAGGCAGATGTGTAGATGGTACACCAAAGGTGGTGCACCAAAGTCGGTTATTTCCTCTTTCTTATTTAACCACAAGATCAGCTGATGTGGTCGTGGAAAGAAACAGCCGCTCCCATTTCTTTCCGGGTGTGCACATAGCAACAAACTGTGTAGAATAGCTGCTTTATTTGAATGCTTTGTGATTATTTGGTAACTGTGGCAATGTTTACAACAACCAAAAAGCAGAAGGGCGGTTTGCGTAGCAATGCGAGATCGCCATTTAGCAAGCAAAAGTTTGTGCCAGTCAAACGCACCATTCATAGAAACGCAAACTCCGAAATGTTCCCTCTGCATGGCACATAAGTAACACGACAGCATACCTAACCAATCTGCCGACTTGTATTTACTTTAGCAGTAATAAATAAAAGAACAAGAACATGAACCTTTCTTGAAGTGGCAACTGCAAACATGGGAGCTCAAATTCAAATTCTTTATTGATACCTGAATCAGGAACAGAAGGCAGAGAAAAAAGCAACTCAAACACTGCTTCACTAGCCTCTGTCCCCCGTAGCAGCACAGGGAGAAAACAACAAACGTAAAGACACTAGCATTCGACATATTCGTAAGACAGCACGGAAAAGAAAACATCATGTCAATTGCTAAAAAAAAAAAAAAAATGTAAACAAAAGGAAGAGAAGAAAAAGAAAAAAAACCTAAAAAGTAAGTGAAAAATAATGACATATGCAAAATGCATATGTTTGTGTTATGCTCAGCTTTTTTTTATAGAGCATTCATGGGAGTAACCATTAGACAAAAAGTGAACATATTTCTTTGGCGGACATACTGAAGATATCTATATTGAGTTTCTAAAAGCGATTCAGAACATAGGGGAGGGTACATTTTAACACCTGATTCCTATAGTTGGTTCTTGAATGTGGCACTATCCTTATCTCAGCATTACAAGCTGGATAAATTGCGTGTCTAAGTTCAAGTTGGGAAATTAATAGATACATATTTTCATTCCGTCTAAAAGACTTTTTGTATTAAAGTGCAAGTTTGGAATTTGTACTATATTAAATTTATCAAATAATGGCTTAGTATGACTATCATATGCTGCATGACATAAAACTCAACTGCTTTTTTTGAAGATTATGTATTAGTTTTGTGGCAGTCATGTTTCCCCATACTAAAAAGCAATATTTGTTGTATGTGTAAAAAAGGGACATTATATAAGTAGCATAACAGAGATGGGAATCATATTTCGGTATTTATAGAGAACCCCGAGAACTTCCGATAGCTTATTACTTATCTGTTGCACAGTTTTGTCCCAACACATTCATTAAATATTATTCCTAGTACTTCTATATATTTTCCACTATATCTATTTCATTTCCACCAAGTGAAAGGATAGTCATGTAGGTAAAGTTTGTATTTTGTGATCTGAATAGAATGGGCCTTAGTTTTATTTACATTTATTTTTAAGGAATATGATATTGTCATGAATGAAGAGGTAATGAAGCAAAGAATAACTGAGGAAACTAAACGTTTAAAGGGTCAAACTTGTGCCCAAAAGCAAAACAAAAAGAAAAAGAAGCTAACAACAAAGCATTGCGGGTGTCGAAGTTGGTGAAGCAGCAGGATGGAACGCTGAGACAAGACTGACTGCGGCGCGGCACGTGGAGCCCCTTATGTACACGCCTGGGCTTCTGGAACAATCGGTGTAGAAAGTTTGGCACATAGAACATTCAGACCTCGAACAAGCAACAGGATCCTCGAATTTACCAGAACACTAAATTGCGAGAACAAACAAAAGACTCGTCACTCCCGGGAATCGAACCCTGGCTCTTCGCTTGGGAGGCAAGCACGATAACCGTTAGGCCACGGCCGCGCTGCCTACTTGGCAGCTGCTCGCGCGGCATTACTTCCCCCCTTTAAAAAGTGCATCTCCTTGATGAAACACAAAACAAAACAAGACAAATAAAAAAACGCCAAACTAAAGAGTCATTTGGAACACATAAGGTCCACAGTCTTATCGGGCATAGAACGGCTTCACCCCGCAGGGGGCACCTGTGAAAGCAGGTGTTTGGAGAGTGGCGTTTCCACGGACCCCGAGCAATGCGGGTTCGCCCGCCCACGTTTGGCTGTGCGTGGCTTTCCTGTCTCCGGGGAAAAGGGCATCCTGGTGGTTGAGTCAAGCCCGGGGTAGGTTTGGACCCTTCGGGGCCCCCCGGGTGAGGCTATACACCACTTCGGCCCCCACTTCTCGTAGACGGGTGTCCTGGCTTGGCCCGACCAGGATGATTCAGTCAGTCGCCACTTCTACTATCCCCTCCTTTCTTTCAGCCTTGTCTTCTCCTTCTTTTTACTCTTCTCATTTCTCTTCCTTCCTTTTCACCTCCTTTGGCAGCAAGAGATAACTTTGGGTGGCAATAGATTCTCTTGCCTTGAACCACACTTGGTTATAGCGTCTTGGTAGTACTGGCAGAGCAACATACTCAGATAAGCCCTGACTGTTATGAGGTGCTGCCTGTCCCCTTGTTGGGCTCCGTGGTGGGCGGTACGCCACGGATGCTGAATTTTCTCTGCCTTCTATGGCGTCCTCTACCAAAACCTCTTCAGGACAAGCGTCCAAGCGGCCTTATCCTGAACTAACCTAAGTAAAAGATGTTGAACCTGTAACCTTCGCAAGATTCTTTGTTATTTATTCTGAAGATAAACAGCACCCTATGGGAAAAATGTCTCCTTTTGTTGTGGCAAAAGTTCTTGAGAAGTTGATTGGTTATAATTGCAAAGCGAAGAAGATGCACTCCAGTGATCTCCTCGTCGGAGTGAACACTAAGGATCAAAGCATGGCGCTCCAGAAACTGTCCCGCATTGTAGATGTCCGAGTAACAGCTGCCCCACACCGCACACTGAACACCATTCGAGGGGTGCTTTTCGAGGACGACCTCCTACACTCTAGTGAAGAGGATATTCTCGAAGGCCTCCGACCATTGGGTTTCGTTGCTGTAAAGTGGGTCATTTTCAAACGAGATGGTGTGGAAACTCCGAGCAAGCATGTTATTCTCACGTTCGAAAGACACACTCTCCCAGCATTCGTGAAGGCGGGATACCTCCACTGCCGTGTCCAACCGTACGTACCAAATCCGCTGCGGTGTTTTCGGTGCCAGCAGTTTGGTCATGGCGCTCGGAGCTGTTGAGGCAAGAACATCCGCGCAAAGTGTGGAAGCACTGACGCGCGCACATGCTCCATATGGAAACAGGAGAAAGAGATCCTTTCGTTGAGAGCCAAGGACAATCTGTCTTACCCCGAGGCCAAGAAGCGCTATGCCTTCTTGGCAAAGGGGGACTTCCTCGAGGGGGTGCGTAGGGGGCTTGCACCACCTTCCGAGCCTCGATCCTTCCAGGTTCCGTCTGGGAACCGGGAGGCCGTCGCTCAGCCCCCACTTACCAAGAAACCAGAGGTGGCGGCGTGCCCTCCACCTCAGGGAGGTAGCACTGGTGCCGCTCCCACTCAGAGAGACAGGCTGTCAAACGAAATGCCTGCTCTGATTACTCGGTCTCCTCCTAGGAGGAAGAAGCGAGCCCCTCGCCCCAAGCCTCTCGAGGAGCCATCCTCATCTAAGGAGCAGCAGCCCCCCTGATGCCTCCACCGTCTCACCTAATAAGGAGCGGATGGATGTGAGTGAGTCTCCTCCCATCCGTTTGGCTCCTCCTGATGACTTAAAACTAAAGAAGTCATCCCAGAAGAAACCGATACCACGGGTAACCCCGCCCAAACCGCCTGAGGGCGTCTATGCAGGAACCCTTTTAACATTTCCACCATAAATAGTTACAGTTTCATGCAATGGAACTGCCGAGGACTGCTTCACAACATTGACAATGTGCACTTTTTTCTTGATGAGCTGCGAGCTCTAGCAGTTGCTTTGCAAGAGACTCATCTCAATAGCACTCATATCAACATGTTTCGTTGTCAGCATGTTTTTCGAAAAGACTGTACAACATCTCATTCTTCGGGTGGAGTTGCTGTTGTAGCATGAGGCGATATTGCATGCACGGCAGTTCCTCTTCGCTCACCCCTGGAGGCTGTTGCAGTGCGTATTCTTGCAGATCGTCTCATTACTCTTGTCTCCCTTTACCTTCCACGAGATGTTCCGATTGACTTTTACGATTTGCAGGACCTGCTGAACCAGCTGCCGAAACCTTTTTTAATCTTAGGGGATTTTAATGCACACAACCCCTTATGGGGAAGTGCTAGGTTGGACAATCGTGGGAAAGTCATTGAATGTTTTTTACTTTCATCTTCACTATGCCTTTTAAACGGTAAACAACCAACATTTTATAGTGCGAGCCATAACTTTCACATGTATAGACTTGTCTATATCATCAGCTACATTATTCCCTTGTTTTTCATGGAAGGTTTTAGATGATCCTCTTGGCAGTGATCTCTTTCCCATCGTTTTAGAAAGTCATATTCCATTGCACACTATTTTAAAGTGAATTCCCCGATGGGAACTTGATAAGGCTGATTGGGGACTGTTTCAACTGGAGGCCACACTTGACCCGTTAAAGCTTAAAAGTTGTGGGGTTCTCTATGGAGGTCTCTCTACTAATAATCACCGCCCGATCGGTATGCGCTCCGCCCGTCACCCAGGGAGTGACATAACACAGCGAATGGGTTTACTGTACCTCCCGGTTGCCCGTCGTCAAGAGCCGGCAGTCCGGGCCCCACGTTTGCCCCACGTTGGGCGCCATTTTAATGTGGGGTTCTTTACGGAGATCCCTTTACTAATAATCGCCGCCCGACCAGTATGCACGCTGCCCGTCACCAGGGAGTGACATAACACAACGAGAAGACAGCGAATGGGTTTACTGTACCTCTCGGTTGCCCGTCGTCGAGAGCCGGCAGTCCGGGCACGCCGACCCTTGTCGCCCGTCGATCAGAGCTCACAGTCGGAGTCTGTGTCCAGGCCTGCGGATCGCCTTTCTCACGCCAGAGCCAACCTCCGGACACAGAGCAGTGATGTGATTGCTGCGCCAATTGCGCCAAACTGCGCCAAGGGGTGAACCCTGCTACATCCTGCTACATTTTGCCAAAATATGGGTAAACTGCGCCAAGCCTGCGCCAAAAGATCAATTTTGGTCGTCTTTCAAAACCGAAACTAAACTGAGTACCGTAACTGAGTATGCATGAGCTAGGTAGCGCAAGCGGCCGCCCAACAAAAAGTACCCTGTATCAATCGTCCATCCGGTCTTGCATAGTTTTTCCCGCCACCTCTCGTTTCACGCTCTCGTCGTTCATGTGTCTCGTCTACTCCGTGGTCTCGTCTCGCGTCTTTTTAAAAACAATTTCAACGATAGACGCGGGCGTGTGTTGACGCTTCAGTGCTTCAGTCGTTGTACAAAGCGCTCCAAGTACATTTTTGACCCTGACTCGCGATGTATTGTTTTGACCTGACTCGCTCAGGTTCTTTTTCTCTGTGTGTTTAGCTTGTACCTCGCCTGCGGGCCTGGCAAGCACTTGCTGCTGGACTGTTTTTTGTCGTATGCTGGACAATTACATTTTGCATACAATTTTGGGAACCAGTTGGCGACGGAGCGGATTGGCGTGGTGTCTGTTTCGATCGAACAGCCATCTCCGCTCGCGCGACGAAGCACGTGCAAATGCAAGCCGTCCGAAGTTGCCCTCATGTGCATGCGAACATGACTGCGCGAAAGAGGCACCAGCCGGGACACTTGCAACCCATTGTTTTATGTTTGCTTACTTTTCATGAAAATCTGGCACGTCGGGAACAAGTTAAACGGTGGCAAGCGGTTTTTCGGAATCGCTCGGCAACGGCCGCAGCACTGTTCACTTGTGGGATGTCACAATGTCTCTTTGGAGACATTGAAAGTGGAAATTCATTACTAGTCAAAGGCAAAACGAGGCTTGCAGCATCCTTGTACTAGAAAGTTTCGAAAAGCAAAAAAAAAAGCACCTTTGTCTTGTGTACAATTTCGCGTTGCACTGCAGTAGTTACGTGTTTCACCAGTCGGAGACTGCTTCCATTTATTATACTATATAACTACGGTAGTCAACCTACTAGCTTATTGACTAATAGACCAGCTTATTTACTAATAAGCTGGTCATTTTCAAACAAATTTTAATATGTGGAGTTTGGTTCTTATTTATCAATAACGGTACATATATATGTATAATTTAACTGAAGCATTGCAAAATGTGTCATGTCATTGGCATTTCAGTTACATGTTGAAAGGCACCCAGGTGGTTGAACTTGACCATAATTTCTTTATTGCGGCAAGTGAAGTGCCTTTTGTTCGTCCAGCACTTAAAACAAATATTTTTATTTTTTTAAGAATATTTGCTCCAAAAACCACATTTGCTGCTCCGAAACACTGTTCTGGCTGCTCCAAAAGCAACTTTTGTTGCTCCAAAACACTTTTAACTGCTCCAAAGGCCACTTTTGCTGCTCCAAAACACCGTTTTGGCTGCTCCAAAAGTTGCTCCAAAACGGCTTAGGCCAATCACATCACTGACAGAGCGACTTGCGCGGCCGGAACACGGATGGCGCCACCATAGAGCTGTACAGCAGTGCTCGCATGGTCGGAGGCACTCATTACTAAAAACTAAACAATAATGAATCAAACTTCACTTAGCTTTTGTTATGACTGCATATTATTTCACTAAATACAAATTACATATTCCTAAACATATAACATATTTTTTTTAAAGTTCGTGTCAACTTCACACTTTCGAAATTTTGCCTTTTTTTGTGTTTTGCATTTCTAAAACGAAACCGCTGCCTGTGCGCATGCACGCTTGCGCTCTGCGCGTTCTCTCTGCGCGTTCTAAAATCGGTGGACCATTGTGGAGGTGTCCGTGGGTCTGCTCGGTGCTTTCGCGCTCTCGTTTGCCTTCGGTGCGTCAAGCGTCAGCGCCTCGATCATCGCACTGCGCAAGCCTCGCACTTTGGGGCGAGTGGAAAGCTTTTCGTATCTTTGAACTACCTCATTAGTGCGGTTACACAAAGTGGCGCCCAAGCAGCGTCGGTGACAAAAAGCACCCGTTCGTTCGGATCCCAACTGACGACGGTGAGTTTTAAAGTTTTCATTCACCCCTATTGAAACTTTTCCTAAGCTGATCTTCCAGCCACAAATTACACCATTTGAGGGTTTTGTACTCTTTTAGGTTATTGAATATAACTTTTCATTTTTTAAATTTTCAAAATGTCACCGTGATTTTATTGCGATGCGCACATTTCGGCAAGCGTTCTTAGCACGCGGTTTTGTGGATGGAGGCCGTCCTGCAAATATTTTATGATCTGTAGACTGTTGATGAAATATCACCTCCTCTACCTCTCGTCGATTTCGTGCACAGCAATGTAGATCCCCGTCGGGTAAATTGTAGTCTATATATAAATATTGTTCTCCCAGTTTTATAATATTTCAGAGTTTATATCTTATAATATCTGCTCGTTTTTATTAATGTATCTCGTGTAGATTCTTTTACAGCCCTGCGACTAGTTAACCATGTTTTGCTTTCAGAAATAAATATAAAGCTGGATAGTAAAATAAATTAATTTCTAAAGACACTTTTAATATCTCGAAAGATTTACGCTTAGAAGGGCGGAATGCAGACAGCAGAGCTTGTTCGCGAGATGTGCTATCCGTCCTTCTATGTGTGATTCTTTCGGAAGTTTTTACACCTACCAACGCACTCCCTTCAAAACAATTAAAACTCACGTTAGGTTTTTTTTTTTTTCTCGTTTGTTGCACGTAAAATAGCATCATTTGCGTTATGTGTTCTTTTTTTGTGTATCCATACAAATTCTCAAGGCATGAAAATCACTCCAACAAGCCTCAGGGACAGGGAACCCCAATAGACAAAAAGTAGTGTCCATGGTAATTTTTTTGTGAAGTGCACTTGATTGCTGTCCAACCTGTCAAGCTGAATATGTAATCATCAGCATGCTAGGTTCCGCCGTGGTGATCTATGCAGTCTAATCTACGGTCAACTGTAATGTAAAATGAGAGTGGCTGGGGCAAAGAGGATTATAACAAAAACAAAATGATAGTAGAAGCAGCCCTATGCATGTTTCATAGCCCTGTTTCTCTTCTGCAAGTGTATGTGTTGTGACGAGACAAACTAATGTGTTCTTACATTGTCCTCTGCAGATCCTGAGGGGATAGAGAACACCCAGGAAAAATGAGAAAGAACAGTGAAGTGGCTGGTCCATCCCATGGGCATCATAGCATCTCAGTAGCCACACCAAGAAAACCTGGTTCAACTCATGGTTTAACTTGACGGCGCAAGCGACAGTTATTGAAAGCTCATCAAGAGGCCAAGAGAAATGAGAAATACCAAAGTGGTCTACAGAGAGCTAGGTCTACACATTAAGAAATATGTCTAAAGATTATGGTTCAGGTCTGTAAGTAAACAATGAATAAGTTTGCCTGAATTACAATGCATTGTGTTAACTTTTTATTTGCACGGACCAGTCAGAATGACGAGAGCTTTCAACTAGGCATGAAATCTTTTGGCTGTGCTTGAGACTTTCGAGAGACAATGTTGTCCACTGCATCAGCAGGTTGCTCTTTGCATGATTTTTATAAAGCGAGATCATAGACTAACAGAAGCCTCTGAGCATCCACTTCGTTCAGACGAGTTGTTAGCCTGCTGG